TTGTTCAGTCAACTTCAGGTATTTGAGTTCTACAGACAAAAAATGTTGAGTTGGCACAACTTAAAAAGGTTTGTTATAGAATCGTTGCACATCTCTAGAAAACTAACAATCTTGAGTTAACTCAACTAAACATTTTTTGTATGACTGACAGCTTCTTTTCAGTCAGTATAACTGCTTTTTTACAAAAGTTGAGTGAACAAGAAAAAGCTAGGGGAAATTAGTACTAAGATTTTTTTTGTTGTGCTGGCTTAAATTTTTTTACAGTGTAGGATAATTGTCTGTTTTTGTTTTTTTCCTACAGATCTAGTCCAGTGGAAGGCCCTCAGCCACTGAAGACAGAAGGTACACCAACACAAACAGTAATTACACAAAAAAAATACAGTTATATTTTTATTGAATGCTTGATAAATTTGACCTTTTTTATTTTAGTTCCACCTCAGACAGTGAAAAGCAGATGGTACGACTGGGCGGCCCATTTCAGCGAGAGGAAATGCTCAGAAGCACAAAGTTACTTATAGGAATGTGGAGGAGATTCGAACCTGCTTGACCTTTTTTTGTAACCTCAGCCTAAATGCTGATCTATTGCTGTATTTTTAGGTCTCTCAGTAGCACATGTGCTACATTATATCACTTTTGTGTTCATAGAGTGTGAACGACACCATTAATGATGCACCTCTTATTTTACTCATGCATGAATAATTTGCTTTACATGTTGTTGTTATTATAGGAGGCTTAGATCTAAAAGGGCATTCATGGAAATATTTATGGAAGCAAACAGGAATAATGATTAGAAAACTAGTAGACTGAATTAATTACATTGGAGAGCTCATGTTTCATGTAATAGATTTCATTCATTTAGACATGATGATGTTGATATTTTCACTCATTTATATTTTAATGAAGAGAACATTGTTTGAATAAATATAGAGTAAATAGCTCTCCAGCATGGAAATATACTCAGTCCAGTGTGTCTCCCTGTAACTTGTGCATGCTAGGTTTCAACAAAACGTAAGACAATTTTCTAGTTCTTTTAGTCCTGTAGTATATATTTCTTTATTATTTTTGAATTTTAGGTTATTTAAAATACTATTGAATGTGTTTCACAATTATTTGCGTATCATATTTCAGTGGAAGTTTAACTTATTACTACCATTAACAATTTTGACATAAACCATAAGATAAACTTAAACGCATAGCCTATTTCAAATCTCCTGTTTACAAATTGTAAAGTCGTTTCTTGGATCTGTGAAGTCAGACGTCATTGCAACAGCACATTATTGAGGGCTTAGAAACCAGGAAAGTCTTGCCTTAAAGAACTAATGGTGCAATCAAACAGTGTTACAAACTAACTAGCGGTTACTAAGCCAACTTAACATCTTAATTTAAGTCAAGCCTCATGAGTGGCTGGTGCAACCCTTCCTTGGAGTTACACATGATCTTATATCCATTGTAACAGCGTGAATATTTGAATACTGTATTCCAGTAAACAAAGTACTTTAGAAAGTAATACTTTAGTGCCCAGCTAAGTGTTACTAAAAGGCAAATGACTTAATTGCAACTGAATGTATTTATGCCTCGTATTAATAAATAAGAAACCATCCATAAAACTTTTAGAGAATAATGAACCACTGCACATCTATGTGATCAGCATGTTTTTGGGGGAATGCTTATGAATTCTTTAAAAGTCATTATACTGAAGTTTTTTTTTATTATTATTCTTATTTTTTCTCCGAAGTGAAGTAGTTGAGTATGACTAAACATTCACAGCAGTCATAATAAAGAGCTGAAAAGGGTTACTATATGAAAAGGCATTTTTATTATTCATCCAAATGTTAGTCGTGTAAAGACATTTGGCTCAATAAAAGATCCTGAGTTACAGAGGTTTATTCGGATTTAATTTGGCTTGGTCAGTTGACATAATGCAAAACACACAAACATTAATAAAACATTAATGATTTGCAGAAATACATGAATAATTATATAAATGTTGCTTATTAAAGATGACACATCATGAACAATATTAACAAAAAAACATTGTAAATACAATCAAGCAAATTTTAATGCTACTTTATATACTCACAGAATTTGGTTTAGTCAGATGGTTTCATTCATTGAGTGTTTGTGATATATACTAATACAATGAGCAAAGTTTCATAAATGAATTCTACAGAAAGCAGTTTGCGCTTTGCTTTCAAATGAATTCTCATAAATCCACAGACCTCTCTGTTTTACAAGAAAGTGACATGAGTGTGTTTTCCCTCATTTGAATTTCCAGAGGGACTCTGTACTTCAACCAGGTGAATCATGCATATCATTGACTCAACAACAACACCCTCCAACATTTGAAATCTTGATACAAGATGGACACTATCCCCACATAGAAAAATCTTTCCTTTCATACTATTCCACTGAAATAACATTGTTAAATCATATGAATAATTCTGACATCTTGATTCTGGCAGGTCTTGATGACAAAACTACCTTCTCACCTCAGAACCCCCTGACATTTGATTTCACCCCCTCATATATGACTCACCAAAATAACACATTCACATACATGATGGCTGGATGACACATCTCCTGTAAGGACAACTATGATATCAAGTGTGCTGCTGAGAAAAGTGCATTACATAGAGAACTGATGTCATTCATATAAAACAATGAAATAAATAACCGATCTTTCCCCCCGAGTGAAAGTAACATGAACATGAGCACAGAGAAAAATATGCAACATCTACCAACCAGAAGCTATATAAATACATATCAAAACAATTAAAGAATATCCCACTGATACAGTGAATAAAAAAAAAAAAGAGCTCAGCTGCTCTTGTAAGCAAACCAATATGGTTTATAATTGAAGGTGGAAACTCGACTGGTACTGACAGTCCTCATGACAATTTCATTGAAATCACTATTCATGAACACACTAAAATTTGTTTTCATCTTTAAATAAACTGGGAAGCAGCTTTATGGTACAGAACCAATGAATGATCCTTCAAAAAATATACTGTCATACTAAAAATGATGTAATGTGTGAAAATCATCATAAAAGAATACTGATGATAAACCCATTTTTCTCCAGAGATGAACATTTTTAACAGCTCTTTGAATAGTTTTTGTCCACATCTTGATGGAGAACAGTTAACAAAATGATCAAGATTAATGTTTCAAGCGCATACTGTTATTTGATCCAGATGACTGCATCTCTATTGGAGAAAGTGGGATACGCTGGGACTAAAAATCAGTCCTAGTCACTCTTGGTCCTGTAAGGATGTAAAACGCCGCCTAGAGGAGGTACTTTTCTTCTTCAAGATGAGCTTGAGCTGAGGGAGAGAGAGTGAGCGAGGGAAAATGGTGTGTCAGCTACTGTGTAATCTGTTCTTTTCTTTCCATGCTGTTAAAAAGATGGTAGAAACTGTACAAGAGAATGCTTTCGTATGGTGCTTTACACACAAGTCCTTCACACATCAGGCAGACTGGTTGTTAATAAAGAAAAGCCTCTCACTTTCTCTCCTGTGTCTCCGCTCTGCAGCAAATGAGCGGGCTGGTCGTTCTCCAGGTTGCGGATGCTGGGATCAGCACCACGACTCAGCAGCAGCCGGATCAATTCCTCCTGAAAGGGGCTTCCATGCAGCCCTGCGGCCATGTGCAGGGCAGTGTGTCCGTGAGCCTGAGAGGAGACAGACATTTGTCGAAAATCATGTCCACACTGTTGTCTGTTTTTAAGTAATATGTCCTAGAGTTCATTAGAGGATGGGATAAATGTAGTGATGATTACATCACATTATACAGCGGTTAGTTCCAGTCTGCTTGTCCATGTGTCTTGTCTGTGTTTGCGTGTTTCAGACAGGCTGTTAGTCTGTATATTAGCCGTGCCTGTTTTTCAGTGACTCTTTCTGCAGGTTACACAGTAGGTGATGACAAGTGACTTAATGAATGACTTCGTTCAAACACAAAGATTCTTTTTTCACAAAGAACGAAACAAGTGACTGTCTTTATGATTGAGTCAATTAATCGTTCAATCAACTGAATTCAAAAACACAAATTCACTGAAAATTAATTCATTATTTATGAGTACGTCACTGGGTTGTTCACTCAACCGAAAACTCTGACTCATTCAGGAACGAAATAAGGGAGTCACTGAACTGTTCACTCAACCAATATGTTCAAAAACACTCATACATTCTGAAATGTAACAGATGACTGTATTGATGAGTAAATCATCGGGCTGTTCACTCAACCAATTCGTAAAAACACTCTGATTCATTCTGGAATTAAACAAGTGCTTGTCTTTATAAGTGAATCATTAATTGAATCATTCACTCAACCGATTGGTTCAAAAACACTGGTTGATAACCAAAACAGATTTATGAGTGAATCAAAAACTCAGGTTTATTCAGGAATGAAAACAGGTGACTGTCCTTATTAGTGAGTCATGCTGGGAGCCATTGATTCATTCAATTAACATATTTGTTTATTCACCGAGTAATAAAATGTCGTTACTGCATTATGCTGGACTGGAGACATGCAGCAGTTAAATTAGCTTTGGCTTCATTTAAAACTTTACTATTGTATCTAAAATGTAAAGTCACTCAACAATAACTTCTTGTTCACACCCACAATAGTGCTGTTGGTCAAAATTTCACCACAGCTGTAATTACCTGTGGCACGAGGCAAGTGTGATATTACTTGAGTATGATTTTGTATTTATATGAAAGTCAATATAATGTCGTCATCATGTGTCTCTCACTTTCATGTTGATGAACGCCTGCATATTGGAGAGTTGGAGGCTGAGGAGGAAGCGCACAAGATGGATATTCCCCTCCTTCACTGCCAGGTGAAGAACTGTCTTGTTGCTTTTGATTTCCTGAAAAATATGGTATACTAGTCAACAAAGTGAAACTGAAGCAACATCAAAGTTAGTGTGGCATAAATGAGGTTTCCTCCTTGTGCGGCAGTCTCAAAACGAAACCGCTCTGTATGGAACGATGACAAAATCAGTTGTTTATCTGTCTGTCTGAAAGGAACATTTGGGAAATACATCTTTTCCTATTCGACGGAAATGTCTAACATAATTCGGAAATGTCAGTATCTGTGATTTGTGTGCTACTTGGGGTCAGTAAGATATTAAATAAATGAATACTTAGACTTGGCAATAATGCATTAAAATTGATCAACAGTGAAAATAAATTGACAATAATATTTATAACCTTACAAAAGATTTCTATTTCAAATCAATCCTGTTCTTTTGAACTTTCTGTTCTTTAAATAATCTTGGGAAAAAATGATTGCTGTTTCCACAAAAATATTAAGCAGCACAATTGTTTTCAATATTGATAATCATTCATGTTTCTCAAAATCAGCATATTAGAATGATTTCTGAAAGCTTGTGTGACACTGAAGACTGGAGTAATGACTGCTGAAAATTCAGCTTTGCTATCATAGAAATAAATTACATTTTAAATTGTATTAAAATAGAAAACAGCTTGTTTTAAATTGTAATAAAATTTCACAATATCACTGTTTTTACTGTATGTTTGATCAAATAACGCAGCCTTGGTGAGCATAGGAGATAAAATCATTACAAACCCTAAACTTTACATCTCTATACATCAATAATGATTATTTTATTGGCTTCTTTAAAATGGCAATTTACTCATGTTATTATGGGCCAGGCTTAATGCAACACTCAGTTTCATAATAAAAATTATTTATGGGGGGTCCCTGCACCATCTGTCTATCCACCAAAGGGTCCTTTAGCATTAATTAACACATTACCTTATTATCATTTGGATTAAACTGTACTGAAAATATAAAATATTAAAAAAAGCCATAAAACGGAGTACCTGGCTGAGAACTGAAGCTCCAGCATTTATAAGAAGCTGCAAACACATCAGTTTATCTTCTGCTTGAGTCTGTAGACTGCCATCAGCCAACCATGTTGAGGATGAGGAGGAGGCATTTATGGCCTTCATCGTGGCACAGTGAG